ATATTTTCACTTGACTCTCCATGGTCACCTCAAGCTCAAGCTGTTTAAATCACACTGGCTCAGGTCATGATCCTCAAGGTTGTGGGATTGAGCCCCACATCAAGCCCCACATCTAGCCCCATGTCGAGCCCCATGCAGACCCTGGGTCTGGCTTGGAGCCTGTTTGAGATTCTCTCTCTCTCCCTCTACCCCTCCCCCACCCCTGCTGGCAAGCTCCCTCCCTCTCTGTTTCTCTCTAAAGAAAAAAAATTTTAATTAAAAAAAATAGGATGATCTGCAATGGCTCTGCACTTGTTTTATATATATGTATATATATATGATTCTAATGTTTTGGATTTAGAAGCAAAGTGAATCCTTTTCATCCTTAGCCCACTTTAGAATGCACCTCAGCAATGTCACTACCTGGGGTTTGCCCACTTCTTTTCTTTTAACATCCACAGGACCTGCCATTAGCCTGCAATGTCTGCCATCCATCTGCTTGGGGACCCATGCCTCTGGCCTGCTCCAAAACAAATCACATGATAGGCAGTGAATGAGCCAGTGGATGCAAGATGAATCTAGGGGGAGAAAAAAAAAAAGACCTACCCCTTTGAAAGGAGTATTTCCAGTCTAGCCATTGAGTCTTTACCTCCTTCCCACACATTCTTTAGGTTGTGTTCTGCCTCTAGGCTGTGGTTTGTGGAGCTGAAGAGAAAGGTACTCAACATCGGGATGCAAAATTCACTTGCCAAACAAATCCCTGCTCGGTAAATTCCTATACATTCAGTTGTCAAAGCTTTTTTAATTTATTGTTAATAGGCATAATTCCCATTGACAAAAGTGAAATAAGTAAGAAGATGTTACATTTGAAAAGTCACTAAAATGTTAGAGTGTTCAGAATCATAGAAGTGAGGTAAGCTCATTTGTGAAAATCTTGGGACACGAAGGATGGGACAGGGCAAAGCTAGGTTGAAACCCAAACTCCCACACACCTCCACTGGAACCTACTTCATTCCTATCTCTTGACAACTTCCAGGTCTTCTCAAATTTACAATATCCCATAATCATACATCAAGGATAAAAAAGTTCCAAGGCTTCTGGTTGCTGCTTAGATGTCACCTTATTAGAAAGGCCTTCCCTGACCGCATGTGTAAGAGCAGGACCCAGCCTCTGCTGCCCACCTGCCTTTCACTGCTTTCTTCTTCTCCATAGCATTTACCAGCAAACGACAATACCATCTATTTCTTTGCTCACCGGCCATCTGGGCCCGCCACCTCCATTTCGTGAGGGCACGGGCATTTTTATTCACCCTGCATTCCCTGAGGTCTAACACAAGATCTAGCACAGAATAGGTTCGAATAAATAGGTGTTGAATAAATGAATGAACCAATATCATAGTTTGGAGAGACCAAGCCAAACCAAACCAGCATTACTTGCAATACAAACTAAAGATTAAGCATATAGTGGTAAAGAAATCAGAACTGAAGGATTACATAGAGATCAGCCAGACAAACCCTGTTGCTTCACGAATAAAGAAAATGAGGCCGAGAGGTTGAGTGACCTAGACTAAGTCCTAAGCTCCTGTTTGAACTGAAATAATAAAATGGCTCGCTCAGAGGCCCTGGCTACCACTGTGGGAGCCAGAATCTGGAGCTTGCATCTGCAGCTGCAGCCTCAGCCCAGCTGTGGGGTGGGGGGAGCCTGCTTGACACTCTCAGGCCTGAAAACGGGGTTAGAGCTGGATGGCGGAGCTGTGCACGCACAATCTATCAGATTGTGGAAATGGGAGAACAAGAAAATTGTATTTGTCAGGACTTCTCTCAAGGGAAGTATCTTGTGTGATTGAAAGGAATGCTTCGAGAAACATGGTGAGGGTATGTGGGGGTGTTTGGGGGTGGGGGTGATGGGCTGTCCTAGGTGCAGTCTTTTTTTTTCCTTTTTTAATTAGAATTAGGCTCCATGCTCAACATGGGGCTTGAACTCACAACCCTGAGGTTAAGAGTCCCATGTTCTCCTGACTGAGCCAGCCAGGTGCCCACGTAGGTGCAGTCTTGAGTAACAACAAATGGTCACCAAAAAGCCTTCTAAGAAAGGTGAGTCCGGTTTCCTTACAAAATATTTGTTTTGCGGATTGCTGTAGTGTGAGGCTGGGGCCGAACGGCCTTGATCGGGGATGGGAGGCCAAGTATTGCCCTTGAGGGGCCGCCTTTCTCAGTCTTCCTCCCTGAGGGGATCAGCTTGTCCTTTATTCAAATGTTCAATATTGAAAGCAAATCCATTTGAATGAGTGTCAGATTTTTAGGCAGCCTCAGGTCTCTTGACCCTTAATTTTATATCTCAGGAGCCCTTTCTCACCAAGTCATCGGCTCTGCAAATCACAATCTCACCCAATCCTCTCAGGCAGTCTCCTCTGGAACCTTGGAGAGGCTGGTTGTCTGGGTGAGGCTCCCCACCTGTCCCTGGGCCGTCTAGCCGTTAGCTGGTATGATGTTGCTATTGCAACAGCTGACGCCGGAACCAGCTGAACTTACTTGATTTCTCTATTTCGTAGTATTTCAAATAAAACTTTATAGTAGTTAGTATATGTGATATAGATGTGTAGATGATCACAGTTCATGCATTTCATCAAACACTTGCCTCTGTACTTTGTTTCTCCCATTCTCTATGCCTCAAAGATCTTTCCTCACGTAAATAAGCATTTCTCATCCTTCAGTGCTCTATTCAAGCACCTCCTTCTCCATGAAGCCAGCCCTCATCCTCCAAGTCATCTTTAGTCAACCCCTCTTCTACTGCATTGTCATATCATACTCTTAGTATCTCTCCGTGCTGGGAATGACCGGCTGTAGTCTCCATGTCTGATTCTCTTGCAAAACTGTCAGCCCCAACTGAGGGACCATTTCTTATTCATAGCCATAGCCACCTGGGCATCTGGTTCTCACCAGAGTGCTAGACTTTAAGCCTCGGATAACTATAAATCATCTCCTTATATGGCAGTTTTACTTAATAATAAGCAACTTAAAATTTTTTATATATTCTTAAATGCTGAGCTATTTTATAGAGAGGCATGCAAAATTAGCTTGGCTTTTAAAAGGTAAATACATTTATATTATTTGTTCACATTCTTCTGAGGTAGTTTCAGAACTTTTTGTGATGAGCACTTAACGCAAGTTTGAGTTGAATTTAATTCAATTCCAGAGGATGTGGATGGTTAATGATTTTTTTTTTCCTTAAAGCAAACAACAATAGGGAGAGTTTGGTAAAAGGGTACAAACTCTCAGTTATAAGATGAATAAGGTCTGAGGGTCTAATGTATAACATAGTGACTATAGTTAATAATACTGTATAATTGAAAATTTCTAAGAGAGTAGAACTTAATGTTCTTAATGTTCTCCCCCCCCAAAAAAAAGGTAAATATGTGAGCTGAGGAAAAAAGAAAATGACAGAACTTTATTCATTTGTAGTAATAGCAAGGAGATGCACTTTTGTTTTAAATTAATAAGCTAGAAAAGGCAAGCTGGAAAAATCAATGCTATTTCAGCTAAAATTATAAATTTTGTTTTAACAAAAATTCATTTCTAAACATAGGGACTGAGAAGTCTTTTGGAGCAACTGTCCTTTGGCAAAGACCAAATGCTTCTTTGTATCTGAAAAAAATTTTATGATACATCATACACACAAAACTGCATATTCAATATATGAATAAGTTTAGTCTTCAAAGCTCCTACAGCATAAGTAAAATTTTAATGAATAATAAATATTTATCAAGTAAATATCCTTGAGATGTTATAGTCTTGCCTCAATTATGAAGTCATTGCCAAGTAGTAGGAGGCGAGACTAAAATTGGATTTTTTACTAGGTATATTAAGTTAAGTAGACCCAAAAAGAAATGAACCAGATATGGCATTATTTGTAAGCCTTGCTCTAAATTGCATTACTTTGAAACCTGAATTACAAAAATAATTATAAAAGGAATACATATACTCAATGTAGATTTATTGAGAAACTGACCGATTTTGCCATCTTTCATTTTCTACTCTTTGCAGGTGGAAGAGTTGATGGGAAAACGAGCTGTCCATCAGGAGTTACTGGAGGATAGCAGAAGGCATGTGGGTGTGCAGACCAGGAGTGAGTGATACGTCCTGAGTGACTGACACTAGTTTGATTGTGCATGGGACTCATTGCAGTGAGGGGGCAGATGTGCTGCCCAAATTTTGAGTTTTATCTTACACACAGTCTCCGAGCTTTATTCTCTCAATCTCCTTTGCAAAAGGAATGACTTTCCAATGAATTCCATCTGATTTTTAGCGATGTATCTTTTAAAAAAAAAGATTTTATTTATTTATTTGACAGAGAGGGAACGCGAGCAGAGGGGAGTGGGAGAGGGAGAACAAGCTTCTCACGGAGCAGGGAGCCCGGTGCGGGGCTCGATCCCAGGGTCCTGGGATCATGACCTGAGCCGAAGGCAGATGCTTAACGACTGAGCCACACAGGCGCCCCTGCAATGTATCTTTTTAATCGCATATGTTTTCGTCACTGATCCTCCCACAAGTCTGAATCAAGTGGTCTTATCTCCTTTTTCTATCTTCTCCTGCCATCTAAATTATTATTCCCATGATCATTTATTCAGTCATGCCTTAATTATAGTCTTCTTACCTACCTATGAAAATCTTAATCAGGGGCGCCTGGGTGGCTCAGTTGGTTAAGCGACTGCCTTCGGCTCAGGTCATGATCCTGGAGTCCCTGGATTGAGTTCTGCATCGGGCTCCCTGCTCGGCAGGGAGCCTGCTTCTCCCTCTGACCCTCCCCCCTCTCATGTGCTCTCTCTCTCTCATTCTCTCTG